GATTATTTAAAAACGAGAGGCTCAGTGCACAATTGGGGCCTGGGAAGGACACAGGAGGTTGGCCAGCCAGAGAAGGGAACGCTGGAGGGCTCCAGGGCATATCTCGTTCATCTCGCTCAGTCCTGATCAGCCGAACCCCAGCAGCAAGCTCGCCTACTGGTCAGTGCGTCTGTCCCCTGGTGGTCAGTGTACATCATAGTGAGCAGTTGAATGGCCTTAGCATATCATTAGCATATTATGCTTTGATTGGTTGAACAGCTGACCGGTCAACCAGACACTTAGCATATTAGGCTTTTATTATATAGTATTAGTCATGAGAATTATAATCAACAATAATGTTGATAAAATCTTGTAAGCTTCTAGCCTGGAGTATATTCTCCTTAAGGGCTACAATTCTGTTTATATCATTTTAGTATTCTCTACCTTACTCTGTGACATTCCTTGAGAACAGTAAATATTTATTAAGCCTTGGAACATGATTAAAAATACAACCTAAAAAAATGACATTTGCTTTAATGATCTCTATTTTTCTTGAAGAAATAATTTGCTAGCATAATGCTGTTTGAAATTTTACAACTATAGAAGATTGTGGTTATATGGGGGAAGAATGACTTGTTTGATTTATGACATCTGCAACTTTAGGCAAGTCTACAGTTATTTTTTCCTGAATCATTTTATTAACTTCAAAAGATTTAGCCTCTATTACATTCTATGATTATAAACTGAGAAATGAGTAGATTGAACTGAAGAATTCCATGGAAGTCAGTGATGTATTCAATTTCTGAAGAAAAGGTGATCCATGTGACATCATAAAGCTCAGCTTGGCTCATCTAGTTTTATTCTTACACTTTCAGTATATTAGGCGATGAAAGAATTAGGTCACATGGGAAAAGGGAGAGTAAAACTCAAAGAATAAAAGGATATCAGAGTAGCGATGATAAAAAGACTCTTTTAGGAACTAGAGCTTGAGAAAGGGTCCAGGGGTGGGACAGTTGGCATGGAAACAATAGCCCTATTGGCTAGTATGACAATAGAGTTATACTGTAATTCAAGTTCAAGTTAAGCTAACTAGAAGGTACTTCCATACCAGCTTCTAAAATCTCAAATCACAATTATTTGGGGTACTGAGACTAGTGGTGGGATGTCAGGAACTGGAGAGGCAGGCAGTGAAAGGTCTTCTTTTGTGATGATGGGTTTAAATTATATCTCTGCTTGAATAAAAAATAAATGACAACATGGTTCTAGGTCCCTTTTCTAGTTCTATGATATTTTTATACTTTTGTTCATGCAGAGGTATCTGCTATAACTCATACCAATTATTTTAATGAAATTCTAAATGGCAATGACCACTTGTCAAAAAGATATCATATATATATATATATTTCAGCATGATTGTAATTAAATACAACTTTTGTCTCATGTTTTGGTAATAATTTGAGTGGACTGCTAACATTATTTTCATTGGTAATATGTATAAATGTAGCTCTATTTCCACAATAATGGCTTAGGTTTTTATAAAGGAAAAGAAATGCTGAAGTATGTTAAAAGTTTGCACGTATGGTCACCTTTGACTGTTGATATTTAAATTTTACTTGAAAGTCTTAGAAATTAAGTGCAGGTTTACAACGTATTTAGAATTTTTAGAACTCCTTTAAGCATTTGCAACTTTTTAAATTTTGCATCAATAGGTGACAATTTTATTTTTTTGAATTAATAGGCTTTTCTATTATCTTGGGAAAAGAGAAAAGATAGGAGTTAGCTATTAATGAACTAATCTTAAAGACACACAAAAGAAGATCACCGTTAACATTTGGGTTGTCAAGGTTCTCATTAATATTTAAAAGGTCATTATGCTTTATGTAAATTATTTTGGCTTATAATTTTTGAAAATAAATCTTGTTTAAAAAGAAGAACGAGAATGTATAGTTCTTTGGATTTTAAAATTCACAGCCTAAAATGAGCGCTGTGGAAAGTTTGGTGGCATTTTACCAGTGAATGCATGACAGAGATGATGTAAGTCTTCTCATTATCTAGTCTATACTGACCTTGGCCTTTTCCTGTGGACAGGCATCTATAAATGATCATTTGCATATCCAGGCCCTCCTGCAGCCAAATATTGTCCATCATTTGGACAATCTGCAGAACAAGCATATCCTGGCGAAGATCATCTCCAGCCTGTTCAAAACAAAATTATAGACTCTGGGTTTCTCTATGACTGCCATTAAAAGCTTTCAGATATAATACATGTCATTTCTTCCTTTGAATACATTTTTAGCCAATTTAGAGTGATTTCAATTATTTCATCAGCTCTCCCAGTACCTTGTGCTTCTGATGGAAGATCAAAGAGAATGAGAACGTTCCTTTAAGTGATTACAGAAGCTTCAGCCATCAAATTACTAGTAGAAGCTGCTTGGAATGTTGTTCTCTGATAATCTTTCAATTTATTATCCATGTGCAATGTCTTAGACTCAAGGTGTAGTGAAGAAAGGCTGAATAAGTGTTTATCCAAATTTCAGACTCAGCCAGGAAAGAGTTAATTGAAACATTATTTGGTATGTCATACATTTATGCACTGATAAACAGAATACCAAGAGCTTCTCAACTATGAGGGTAAACATACACATATGATTCATCAGACTCTGAGTCATTGGCTTCTCTTATGAGGGCAGTTGACAAGTTTTCAGAGTAAATGGTCTCTGATAACAATTAGATATGATAAAGGGGAGATTTTCTAGCATTGGTGAAAGAAATGAAGTATGTCCAAAGGGAAACAATAGTTCTATGCCTTTAAACTATTAAGAATTTTTATTTTGAAAATGCTTTCTAAATTACATGCAGAAAGTTATGCCAAGATAAGATTCCAGGTTGTTTTTTATTCTTCAGCAAATATGCAGTGTCATTGAACCATTATTGCTTGAGGTTACAGAATTCAAAGGAAAAAACTGGATGTCTTATTATCCTCAAAAATAGTCAGAATCCACCAAAAATATCACTCGAAGACCTTGTGGTCTGGTTTGGTTGAATAATTGATTAAACTAGCTGGATGATTGGTGAATTCTTTAGTTTCTTCTTTAGTCCCTTTTCTCTACTTGTTTATAACCATTGGCTCTATTTTCCCATGGGATTCATGAGAAAGACTGCTGTGGCCCATATATTTATGTTTTATTTCAAAAGAAAAAAAAGCCAGCCCAAATTACTAAAATAAGCAAATGCTTGCAGATAATAATTTTATGTTAAATTAATTTATATTATTTGAGTTACAGGTAATTTTGATTCTAATTTAGTATTTAGGCCAAAAGAAAGCTCTCGTCCTCGGGGCTCACCACACATTCCAGTTTCTGTGCTACTCAAAAGTGATTGTATAATTTTGCTTATTGAAACATATTTTCTTAAGTTTTGCACTGAAGGTTCACTGACTTTAAGCCAGTAATGTTTGATTTAGTGCCAATCATAGTTTGGCATGTACTATAAATCTGTAAAAAATGCAAAATCAAAAATAACTAGAATCTTTTGTGTTGTTGCCAGCAGAAAATAGCAGCAGTAATTTTCTTGTGAGCAATAAATCAATATCTCTACCAATGTAATCAATTTGATGCTTTAGGAGTTACTGTACCTTAAAAATGATGCTGATATTTTTGCCCATTGGATTAGCATTGATGAAAGTAATCTTCAATGGTAAAGCATTAGATGTGAAATATGAACATGCCTGCAAGAGGAGAAGAGAAAAACCGTTACCAAAATAAAGCAAAAAGAACACATTCCTGGAAATCATGGCACCTTGCAGAATTTATTTGAACAAATAGAACACATATGAATAATTTTTACACTTTGGAACAAAGAAACTTATTTATTTTTTAAAAAACACAAGCAACTTTAGTTTTACCAACCAAAGCCTTACTTGGAAAATGAAAAGCCAGCTTTTTGGCAGGTCATAAATCTTCAACTACATTTTTTTCTATCTGAACAGTGGTGTTATGTTGGGGATTTAAATAAACGAAGTAGTATAGTATGTAGGTATTGTGTTTATGCTAGTTGGTTAATATAAAAAAAATAAAATTGCTATTTTAAAAAATGTATTTCCTTTTAACTATATCTGCTCTGCAGCATATTAAGAAAATGAATATAGAGCTATAGAGTTCAAATTTAGACTCTCTGGTTTATTAGCTGTAAGACTTTGGGCAAGTTACTAAAATGTTTGTATCCCACTATAAAATGGTGATAACAATGCTTACCTCACCATATTTACAATAGATATATGAGCTAATGGATATAAAATACCTTTTACTGTGCTGAAACTAATTATATAGTTTAAAAAATTAATGCATCCTTTTTCTCTTTTTGTTAATGAACTAGAGGCCTGGTGCATGAATTTGTGCATGGGTGGGGTCCCTCAGCCTGGATGGTGATCAGGGCAGATCAGGCCTTGAGAGGTTTGCTGAGGGGAGGGGCCACCAGGGCCATCGGGGCCAGGATTAGCTGCTGTGGGAAGTTGGCTCTGGGAGCACACTGACCACCAGCAGGCAGCTCCTGCATTGAGCGTCTGCCACCTGGTGGTCAGTGTGCATAATAGCAACCAGTTGACCGGTCATTCTGTTGCTTAGGCTTTTATATATATTGATAGATATTTTCTTAAAATTACAAATAAGAGTACAACATATATTTTCTTTTTTCATTTCCTTCAATTGCATTTTGCATTTCTATATTCAACTTTACTATATTGACTACTTTCCATTGTGCTTTCCTTATTGCTTATTCTCCTTGTATATTCTCACAATTGTTTGAGTGTTAAAAGGCAGTATGTGTTTAGGCTATTAGAGAGTTCATGTTCACAGTGAAGAGTACAATCAATACTAAAGAAAGGAAAATAACTTGATATCTTCAATTTATCAACTCAGTTAAAATATGACATCAATACATGCTGAAGGGACCAGCCAGCATAGCTCAGTGATATATCATTATTTCTGAGAAATCTGAGATCGGTAGGAGCTGAGAGGAAAGGATCTATTTCTTAACCTATCAATGTAAATCTCACCTAATCCTAGAGCAAACAGAAACCCTTGCTTGCTAAATCAGTTTGGTTTTACAGTAATGGAGGTGGGGTTGCTGTTTGGTAGGTAATGAATTCTTTCTGCAAAAATAAGTCAACCAGGAAACATATGACCTTCTGTCATGGTATTGAATTAGGAAAGCCTATGCTAGGCCAGAAATTAGATCAATGGATTTCAAATACCACTCATTCAATTCTTGGGCATCCCAAGTCCATGGAAGAGAGACAAAGGGCAAAGGGAGGATGAGGGCAAGGCTTTGTGCTTGTGTGAGGTCTGTGGCATAAAATGAGACATCTACTCAGACTGGAAGCCTTGCCAGACTGCATTTATTTTTCTCTCTGCTATGAATTTGCTCATAGTCGACAAATTGAGAGTTCTGATGAAGGCTTTCCTACACTGCCTACATTTATGTGCTTGTTCCCCAGTGTGGAGGCTCTGACGCCAAATAAGATATTTATTCTCACTGAAGGCCTTACTATGTTCATTAAACTCATAAGCTTCTTCCAAGTGTGGATTCTGTAATGGTTGATAAGGTTTCCATTGGAATAGAAACTTTCCCCACCACTCATTTCAACTGCAAAGTTTCTCACTTGAGAAGTGCCTGATGTTGGAAAAGGCTTTTACTTTGAATAGAGGCCTCCTGCACTCATTACATTCAGAAGGCTGTTCTCCAGTATGGGTTCCTGATAGTCAATGGTAGGGGGCTCGAAGTGAAGGCTTTTACACATTCATCCTGTTTATGAGGCTTCTCGTAAGCATGGAGCCTCTGATATTTAATGAGATGGGAACAGGGATGACACTCTCTGTATTCATACAGCTTGTCCTATCGGTAAATTCTCAGATGAACCACTGTCTGACAGGTCTGTTTGAAGGTCTTACCTTACTCATAGAGGCTCTTTCCAGTATGGATCCTCTGATTGCCAACCAGATGTGGGCTCTGATTAACTTTGCCACATTTATTGCACCTCTGGATGTGATGTATGTCCCTTCAGACCCTCTTATTATTCTGCAAGACCAAAGGACAGACTAAAATGCTCTCTGGGTGACAGCATCACCTGGCACATTTGTCCTGTTCACTGCTGAATGCACAGGTGCAGCAGCCTTATGCAAGTCACAGCTGGTCAGAACAAATGAGACAAAGGAATGGCTCTACTTGGGCCACTTCCCAGTCTCAGGGAAAGTAGTGATGGTTGCAGGTTGCTGCAGGGGAGTGTGGTACTAATCACAGCACTAGGTGTGGTGACTCCGGGGCTGGTGACCCCAGGTCGGGCCAGCTGGCCTGTATACTCACAGCAGGCACCTATTAGAGCTAGCACCCCACATTCCCAAATGCATAAGCCCAAACTCATATGTAATTTTAAATAAAAAATTGTCTACTCCTTAATAACAACAAACAAAGAAAGCATAAACAAAACACCAACATCTGAAATCAGTGCTCCATATTGTTCTTTCGAATGTAACATATGATGTCTTTGAAATGCTGAGTTTCCATTTTCTCCAAATTAATCAGATTTGCTGCTAATGATTAAAAAGTTACACAATTGAGAGGGAAGGAAAGGGAGGGGGGGGGGAAAGGAGACATATGTAATGGTGCCAACAATAAAAATAAAGGGAAAAACAAAAAATATAAAAATAAAAGTTACACAATTTTTTAAAAATTGGTGATGATTTAGATTTTAGTTCGATTAGACATACATATCTCAATTTATGGAATTGATGTGTAATTTTGTTATTTTTAAAAATATGTTTATGAAGCATATTAGGAAAGTTTGCAGGTATCTTTGTAACAGCAAAGTTATAAAGGTGAGAGTATCAAGCTTTTAGCAAACCTTTTTATATTTATGCTAATAATGATCTAATTTCCCCCCTACTTATTGGATATGTTTTCTTGATCTTATAACTTAAGTAACATTTATTGTTCATGCATGATGGTTTGACTACTTCACTTCTAAATCTCACTTATCAATCCTCCTCTCTATCAGTGTCTTCTACTCTTGGGCTTTGAGAAGGAGAATAACAAAGCTCTTGGAGAACAGAGGAGGAAGGATGACTCCAAGGGAGAGAAGGGTGGCTGGCAGAGGTTCGGGAAGAGAAGGGGTTTGTGAGTGTGACAACACCAAGAAGGACTTCCCAGGCATTGGTAAAATCACAAAATACATTATATGGCACACTGGCTCCTGAGCACCAATGAATTTTAAATTGAATCAAAATGGAGATGTTGTAGCTAATGATATATTAGTGTACTAGACATGGGTATGCACGTAATCTAAATAAGCATGAAATTAAAGTCGGCCTGTGTGGAGTCACCAAATGAACAATTTTGAATACATTGAGAAATCAATTCCATGAGAAATATCTTTATTTACACACTGAGGAAAAATAACTGCAATAAGATTTTACAAATCATATTTGCCATTTCAAAAACATACAGTGAACTAAACAATGCCGAACAAAAATACTCAACTGACCTTGTGATCAATCCCCTTTATACAGACAGCAGGGTTCAGAGGGAGGTGACAGGTATGTATAGACTGAAAGAATTCTTCTAGTCTTCCAATCTCTTTCTTCAGTACATCCTGTGAAAAATCATAAGGAAAAGCAGTTCAGACACTGTAAAGAACGTGACTTTTTCTTCAAGTTAGAATTTTCTTGTATTGATTAAATAAACTGTTTAATTCAGAGGTTGCACACTTGGATGCTTTAGGGCCAGGTAGGTGATGTAGACACATTTGAGAAAGCAGCAGGCTAAAGACAATAGGGAGTGGGGAATTAATGAGTGCATGTCCCCTTTAAAGGATTTTACATTCAATTAAAAGCAAAACCAAAACGAAGTACTATTCTGTTCAAACAAAACACAATGGATTGAACTTGACCTGTGCCCCACTAATTTCCAGTCCCAGCTTTAAGTAATTATTCATATAATTCCTTTCTGACAATTTTCTAAAATCTTAGTTTGCATCTTCTCAAGATTTACACTTAATAATAAGAGTACATCTTAAGAATAAGTTCACATATATTACCAGCAATAATGACAAAAAATTATAATTGCCAACAATTGATAATTATCAGAAACAGCAATATGTCTACTTTACTAAATGGCAATGAGTATATTTCTGGTACTTGATTTACCCCCTGGCACAGTGCTCTCCCATAGTACCTGTGAAAGATCCGACACCACAAACCACACTTTTAGAAGTGGGTATCCCTTGATCAAAAGAGGGGGGAAACAACAATTATTTAAAACAAAATAATAACAATAATTCAAAATTAAGAAAGTTCCTTTTAGGCTACTTTTGAAAACTTTTTAAGCACAATTCTAAAAATGAGGATATCATATTAATTACTCTGAATTAACTTTCAAGAGTTTCTTAGGTCTTTCTCCTGGCTCATTGGCAAATAATAGAATCTACTACTCCCAGAATCCAGAAGAGCAAGGTGGAGAAATGAGGCAAAATTCCACCACAGCACTCTTTCTGTCTGTCACCTGTGGTCTTATCTATGCTTAGACTTGCCAGAAGAATATCATGGAAGAAAATTTCTGCTCTCTTCATTTAATTAAAGTATTGGCATATCATATAGTTAGGTTTAATGAGTGCTTTTAAAAACCTAACAAACAGTCCCAGGTTTATTACAGTCAAGGCCGCGTACCTTGGTTGCAGGTTTCCTGGCTCTGGTCAGGATGCAACCAATCAATGTGTTTCTCTCACATGATGTTTCTCTCTGTCTCTCTCTCTCTCTCTTCCACACTCTCTAAAAATGAATGAAAAAATTTCCTCAGATGAAGATAAATAAATAAATAAAATACTAACAAATAGTAACTTAAATTGTGAAATATTATAAATGATTCTCCCCCCTTTCTTTTTCTTTTCCTATTTTCCTGGGAAATGGTGTTATCACAAAATCAACCAGACCAGAGGAAATAAATACATTTATTTGAGAGAATAATGCCAATATCACTCTAGAACATGATGCAAATGGTCAAAAAAAAAAAGACACCGGAAATATTCAACTAGAGTGTGCATCTTAAATTTGTAAGGGATTTAAAAATATAATAATGACCAAACCTACACACAAATTTTATAAAACTTAATAACAATTTATTTTACTTCTTTCCACTTTTTGTCCGTCTCTAGAAAATAATGAATCTGGAGTAATATGGATGAATCATTTTTTTTTCATTGCCCATCATATTATGTGCCTTAAGGCTCTTCTGTGTAAGCAAAATTTATAGGTCTCCCATTTAAAAATAAATTCCATGTGCATGCTTTTTATTTTCTATTATCTCCTAGGTTGGTAAAGTTGCATAGTTTCTGTTATTTCTACCAAATTAGTGAATTCCAGCAAAAAACAAACAAACAACACACACACACACACACACACAAACAGCACAAAAAAACCTCAGGCTGGGGAAAAATTCTGGGACATTGTACCTATTGTTATTTTCATATCATTTTGTTGAAAACTCTGATTTTAAACCAGGGGTAGGGAGAAATTATGATCTTCCTTGATGACAAGATTTGTGTTTAATTCATCTTTCTATCCTTAACTCCTATTCTGTAGTAAATACTTAATTTTTATTGAATGATGTTCTTATTACAATGAGTTTCATTACTTAAATTTTATTGAATGATGTTCTCATTACAATTACTATCTCCCTGCATCTAGAATGTTGAACTTAGGAGAACCTACTTAATGGTCTATGTCACTGAAGGGAACTAGTGATGCAGATAATTAAAAAGAGCAAGTGTTTCTCCATTAGATTAAGAAAAAGAATAGCCAAGTCCATTATTATAATCAGTTTTAAGAGAGGCACAATATTTTGACTATCATGGATCTTACTGTAAAGTATTACATTCCACACCACTATTGAGTTCTCATTTAAATAATTGTAGTTGTTTTGGTAAAAGTCTTTAAAAATATGACCTTGATTGGTGCAATTTTAGAAAGATCTAGACCTAGATTTAATATCTTACCAGTGGTTCTCAACCTTCTGGCCCTTTAAATACAGTTCCTCATGTTGTGGTGACCCCCAACCATAAAATTATTTTCGTTGCTACTTCGTAACTGTAATGTTGCTACTGTTATGAATCATAATGTAAATATCTGATATGCAGGATGGTCTTAGGCGACCCCTGTGAAAGTGTTGTTTGACTGCCAAAGGGGTCGCAACCCACAGGTTGAGAACCATGCCTTAGAAAAAGGTACCCTAAAAAGTCCCCTCATGTAATTTCCCACAAGTCCAAGTTGTGTTGCCATTTTAAGGAAGTTGCTTCATTTGGTCTTTTTTTAGTTAAACTGCCTTTATTTATTTATTTAAATTTTTATTGTTGAGAGTATTACAGATGTCTTCCCTTTTTTCCCCTTGACCCCCACCACCTGGTTCCCACCCCACCCCAGGCCTTCACCACCCTATTGTCTGTGTTCATGGGCAATGCATATCCTATATAATAAAAGGATAATATGCAAATTGTCCCCTTGGGAGTTCGATAGTGAGATCAGGAGTTTGATTGCTCGCTATGACATGTGCTGACCACCAGGGGCAGCACAGAACATGGTGGGTGACCAGTGGCCACAGCGGGGCACTGAGGGAGTGAGAGAAGAAGGAGGCAGGGAAGCCGGGAGGTGGGGAACCTGATGCACCCTGATTGTGGGCCAGGCCTAGCACCCTACCCATGCACAACTTTCATGCACCAGGCCTCTAGTATGCATATAAATTCCTTGGTAACCTCTTCCCACCCCCACCCACTTCCCTCTGAGATTTGTCAGTCTGTTCCATGTTTCCATGCCTCTGGTTCTATTTTATTCATCAGTTTATTGTGTTCATTAGATTCCACATATAAGTGAGATCATGTGATATATGACCTGGAGATTATGCTAAATGAAATAAGCCAGTCAGAAGAGAGAGACAAACTGCCTTTATGTTGGCCTCTGCTTATCAGGTACTCTGTATGCTACATGGCCACTTAGACAAAAAAGCCACATCCTAGACCTGGCTGGGTAGCAGTGGTTCTCAACCTTCCTAATGCCGCGACCCTTTAATGCAGTTCCTCATGTTGTGGTGACCCCCAGCCATAAAATTAGTTCCGTTGCTACTTCATAACTGTAATTTTGCTACTGTTATGAATCGTAATGTAAATATAAGATATGCTATATGTGTTTTCCGATGGTCGTGACCCACAGGTTGAGAACCGCTGGTAGAGCATCATCCTGATACTCCAAGGTTGTGGGTTTGATCCCTGGTCAGAGCACATACAAGAATTAATCAATGAATGCATAAATAAGTGGAACAACAAATCAATGTTTCTCTCTTTCTCCTTTCCTCTCTCTCTAAAATCAATCAATAAAAAAGTTTAAAAAGCCATTTTCTGGTGATAGACATTACCATTAACTTTAGCATAGTAAAATGAAAGAAGAAAAAAATCACACGTACAAAAAACCAACTTGATTAAAGCAATTGATTTGTAGGTCTTGGCCATGTAGCTCAGTTGGCTAGAACATCATTCTGATACACCAAGATTTGACCTCCAGTAAGTGCACAAACAAGAATCTCTCTCTCTCTCTCTCTCTCTCTCTCTCTCAAACAAACAAAAACCAACTAAAAAAACAACAACAATAAATCAATCAAACAAAAAAACAGTTGATTTGTGTCTTATGTCTACATACAGTCAAGGTATTTGTTTTCCAAGCTATGAAATTAAAACTTAATTGAACTAAAGATTAAAAAAAAATACTTCACTACATGAAGATTGATTTCTCAACAAACCTGTCTTTGAAGTTCACTGGCAGACTTGACTTTTTCCCCAATGCCTCCCAGAATTTCGATAAGTTTCATCTCCTTGGAAAACTCATCACTCAAGGCTTTTCCTGCACAGAATTGGAGAGCTGCCAACAGCTTCTGATACCAGCTTTTAAAATAAGCTTCATTCTGTGCATCCTTTAGCAGCCTGAAGGAAAGAGAGAAAAAGAATTCTTGTATCTAAAGTTGATTTTTTAATCACCTCCAGAAGGAAAAACAAGTGCATTTCAGACGAATCTGTATTTGCTGGCTTTGGGCAGTTTAAGAACCCAGAATGGGAGAAATGTTGTTTATTTGTTGGCAGTCATCAAGGTCCACCTGAAAGCTAATGAGATTCCAAAAGAGAAGAATTAATGAGACCTGCATTTTCTCATTTCAATTCACAATGCACTTTTTCTTCTTTCAGGCTTCGTAATTCTATAACAAATAGTTATCTCAAGAACATATTTTTTGACTTATTCAAATATGAATAAATAATTTTAGAAATTATATTTATAAGTAACTGTATTATACTGCAACTTAACTATCAATCCCCAACCTTTTCTGCTTTCCTTCAAAAGATAATGTCTCCTTCCATTACCATTAAAACCTCCTTTACCCTCTTGTATCTCCCTCCACCCCCATCCTTCCCTCTAGGAATTACCATACTGTAGTCTGTGTCTAAGGGTTTTGTTTTTCTTTCTTTGCTTAATCCCTTCGCCTTTTTCACCCAGTCCCCAAACCCTCTTCCCCACTGACAGCTGTCAGTCTGTTCTCTATCTATGAGTCTGTTCCTATTTTGTTTGTTAGTATATTTTGACTCGGGGTGGTGAACACACAATGCAGTATACAGATGATGCATTATAGAATTGTACACCTGAGACCTACATAATTTGATGAACCGATGTCACCCTGATAAATTCAATGAAAATTTAAACAATAAGATAAAATGGCACTAACTAAAATAGAATTTTAAAAATAAAAAAAGATAATGCCTCTATACTGTCATATTGATTACTTGGAGGAAGATACTATAAAGGCAAGAGCATGGTTTTTTGTTTTCTGGCATTTCTGGATTCAAGTCCCAGACCTACAACTTAAAGGTAACATCGAAAAAAAAAAAAGTAATATTGAACAGACTGTCAAACCTCAGAGGGAAAGCAGGAGTGGGTGGGAGGGGGGAGTAAGAGATTAACCAAAGGACTCATATGCATGCATATAAGCATAACCTATGGACACAGACAGTAGGGGGATGAGGGCATGTGTTGGGGTGGGGGTGGGAACGAGTGAGGAGAGGTCAGTGGGGGAAAAAAGATACATATGTAATACTTTAAACAAATAATTAAAAAAAAACACAAATTAACCAAAGGACTAGTATGCATGCATGTGAGCATAACCAAAGGACACAGACAGGAGTGGGGTGAGGGCATCGGGGGTGGGGTGGGAGTGGCTGGGGAGAGGTCAACAGGGGGAAAAAGGAGACACATGTAATACTTTCAACAATGAATTTAAATTTTAAAAATGTAACTTAGGCCAATTATTTAAAAAGGCTGAGCTTTTATTTTTAAATGTAAAATAAAGCAATAACTCCTCCTCTATAGAGCTGTCTCTAGACCATAGACTGAGCCAATGCATTTGAATAGGCTTAGCACAATGTATAACTATTCAGAGAAAAAAACATTAATTCATCTGTATCTCACAGCATCCCCAAGCCAGCTTCTGTCACTACCTGGTATTCTGCTCACACCACAGACTCAGGAGGCACAGGACACAAAAAAAGTTAAGAATACCTTGCTAGATAATAGAGCAGTGACAAATATTTGAATACTCTGTCTGCCATGTGACAATTTTTATTATCTTGAACCTAATTTTAATATGCTTAACTTTACTTTCTATCATGCTCTAAAACACAGAAATAGAATAAAAAAGACTCATTCCTTTAAATATTAATTTCTCTCTGGTTGATTTTTTTCATCTTAACTAGTCTCTAGTCTTCTCCTCCCTTGAAAAATAATTAGCATTCAAGGAACTAGAAGAAAATTATTGTGAGAATGGAATACTGAAAATAAAAAGGATTAATGCATAGCAGCAATAACATTCATAGGTGAGTTTTATTCTGCATTCCTAATTTTGTACCTCTGCCCATGATACAGAGACTCTAACAAATACATTACTTTTATTTGTTCTGCATTTTCTGTTACTAGCATTTATGTTGAAAAAATTAATTGAATGAGTCTGCTTTTTAAAAAATCCTCAACCAAGGACATGCCCTTATTAATTTTTAGAGAGAGAGAGAGAGAGAGAGAGAGAGAGAGAGAGAGAAACATCAATGTGAGATAATTTTCAATCAGTTGCTTCCCATTCGTGCCCTGCAGCGTAGGTATGTGCCCTGACCAGGAATCGAACCCATCCCTTTAGATGTACTAGACTATTCACCAACCAACTGAGCCACTCAGACAGGGCTGCACAGTTTTATTTATTTATTTTGTTTGTTTGTTTGTTTGTTTATTTATTTATTTATTTATTTATTTATTTAATTTAGGTAAGTCTTGCTTCCTTGTCATTGTTATGAATCCAATTTATCTTCTAACATCTTTTTTACTCTCCCAAAGGAAATATAAACTTTGAGTGGAATAAAAGTTCTTATTTACTTCTGGAAAGCATTAAAGAAAAAATTCAGGGGCTAAAGATTATTTTCTTTTGTTGTTTTTAAAAAATCTTTATTGTTGAAAGAATTACATATGTCCCTGTTTACCCCCATTGACCCCTTTTAGCCCAAATCAGGCCTTCACCACTCTATTGTCCGTGTCCATGGGTTATGCATATGTGCATACAAGTTCTTTGGTTGATCTCTTCCCACGCATCCACCCACTCACTCCTGCCATCTCTCTGAGAGTTGACAGTCTGTTCCATGCTTCTGAATTTTCAATCAGTTGCTTCCCATTCGTGCCCTGCAGCGTAGGTATGTGCCCTGACCAGGAATCGAACCCATCCCTTTAGATGTACTAGACTATTCACCAACCAACTGAGCCACTCAGACAGGGCTGCACAGTTTTATTTATTTATTTTGTTTGTTTGTTTGTTTGTTTATTTATTTATTTATTTAGTTATTATTTTTACTATCAGTCTGCTCTCTGTATCTATGTCTGTTTCTGTTTTGTTTTATCGTTTACATTGTTCTTTAGATGTCACATATAGGTGAAATAATATGGTATTTGTCTTTCTCTGACTGGCTTAGTTCAGAGAACTAAGTATAATACCCTCTAGGTCTAGATCCATCCATGCCACCACAAATGGTAAGATTTCATTCAAAAAATCTTTATTGTTGAAAGAATTACATATGTCCCTGTTTACCCCCATTGACCCCTTTTAGCCCAAATCAGGCCTTCACCACTCTATTGTCCGTGTCCATGGGTTATGCATATGTGCATACAAGTTCTTTGGTTGATCTCTTCCCACGCATCCACCCACTCACTCCTGCCATCTCTCTGAGAGTTGACAGTCTGTTCCATGCTTCTGAGTCTCTGGATTTATGTTGTTCAACAGTTTATTTTGTTTACTAGATTCCACAAATGAGTGAGACCATGTGATACTTGCTTTTCTCTGACTGGCTTATTTTGCTTAGCATAATACCCTCTAGGCCCCTTCATGCTGTCTCAAAGGGTAAGATAGCCTTCTTTTTTACTGCTGCGTAGTATTCCATGGTATAAATGAACTACAGATTGTTATTTTTTTATCCACTTATCTACTGATGGGCACTTGGCTGTTTCCAGATTTTAGCTATTGTAAATTGTGCCACTATGAACATAGAGGTGCATATACTCTTTCTGATTGGTGTTTTAGTTTTCTTAGGATAAATTCCCAGAAGTGGGCTCACTGGGTCAAATGGAACCAAACATATTTCTATGAAAGATGCCTGAGATTTTGCTGCCTATAGTTTCTTCTAGGATTTTTATAGTTCCACATCTTATATTTAAGTCTTTCATACATTTTGAGTTTATTCTTGTGTATGGTGTAAGAGGGTGGCCTCGTTTCATTGTTTTTGCAAATATCTAATTTTGCCAACACCATTCATTGAAGAGACTATCTTA